AATGGTCCCGGCCGCTGCTGCCACCGACCTGCAAGGCCGGCGGGAGTGCGAAGAAGCCCCGCCAAGGCCCTCCCTGGCTCCAGGCAGGCAGGGGTGGGGAGAGGTGGGGAGGAAGCAACTTACCCTCCCTCTTCTCCTGCCTCCTCCTGGCTGAATGAGGGCCGGAAGCGGGGCGGCTGGAAGCAGGGGGTGGGGCTTCGTCGTGTGTCCCGCCCCCCGTACCTCACCCGGGGGAACAACGATCCCCCGCGTTTCCCCCGAATCGATCTCTGATTGTATGGCAGATCAGAGCTACTCCATTCAGGAGCACTGAAATTTTCGCTATTTATCTCCCCCTCCCCCTCCAGGATATGTGCGGAGTCCTCTCTTGTCACACCGATGCCGCCGACCTGGCTAGCTGTACGCGGCTTCTCGTCCCCCTCCTGGACGGAACTGAATGCGGGGTCGACAAGGTAAAAGGGTCCTCTGCTAAGAAGGATACAGAAGACTGCAGTGGTTACAGCCAGCAGTATGACTGGTAGGACTGTGCTTCTCTCAGTGCTAGCGCAGTGCAGCAGGATCAGGCCTTGACAGGTGAAAAGCCACCCATGAGATCAGGTGGCTGGACTGGGCCGGGCGTCATCTCGGTGAAGGCAGAGGGAATCCCTGTTGGAGGATTTGGGGACAGAGGCTGGAGACGGGGATCCAGAGCCCATCTCAGGGTCAGGGAAAGGGTCTCCAGAAGTGACTGGAGGACAGTCCAGGGAACACAGGAGGTTGGCTGCATTTAGGAGGCTGGAAGGAACATGGAGAAGGAAGCAGACTGGTTTGGCTGTCAGGACGGAGTTACGGACAGCTGGCAAACACAGTCCCATAAGAGTCCCTCGCAAGCCAGGTCTCTGCCCGACTCATTGCCACCATAATGCTGGTGCAGAGCACTGTCCAGGCGCAGCCGATTCATGACCACCCCGCAGGGGTTTCAAAGCGAGAGAGGTTTGCCGTGGCCTGCCTCTGCGCCATGACCCTGGTATTCCTGGGAGGTCTCCCATCCAAGCACATAACGGGGCCGACCCTGCTTAGCTTCCAGGATCTGATGCGACTGAGCCAGCCTGGGCCAACCAGGTCAGGGTCATGTAGCCACGATATGTAGAAAGGCACCTTCCTGTTAGAAAAGGATCATACCAATTTATTGAGGATACATCTAGTACCCTCTTTCTTTCCTTTCCTTTTTACAAATAACTAAAACGGGACTTCTGTGTACAGAGGCCGTCTACCTCCTCCACAGTAGAGGCCAGAGGGTCCAGCTCAGGGAGGCCCGTGCCGTCCTGGCCGGCTTGTGAAGCTCTAGCAAGGGGGTCCCCCCGGCGTGGTGCCCAGAGGCACCCTGTTGCCCACCAGCCCCTTCCCTGGTGCCAGCCAAGTGTTTCCGGGAAGCTGGTCCGGAGGTATCGTGCTGTGCTGCTAGCGCCAGGATCGAGGAGATGGCCCCGGGGGAGCCAGGCCCTGCCTCCCTCTGTCTTTCCCCCGGTGAGGCCCCTAGGTGAACTGGCCTTGCCCCTGACACCCCCCCCCCCGCTGTCCTCCGTTCCAGTGGTGCTTCAAAGGCCGCTGCAGCTCCCTGGAAGACCTGGGTCCCATCGCAGTAGTCCACGGGCACTGGTCCAGCTGGACGCCTTCCGTGGCCTGCTCCCGCAGCTGCGGAGGAGGAGTTGTGGCTCGGAGACGACACTGCAACAACCCCAGGTGAGGGAGACCTCGGTCGGGCCAAGCCCAGGTGGCCTGCTGTGTGGGGCAGGGCGTGGGGAGGAGACGAGAGGTGTGCAGACTCTCTTCTGGGGCACTCGGGGGAACCTTCCCTGGAAGCTTCATGTGGGGGGGTCCTCAGGGGCTGGATTGCACCTAGCCCGCCATCTTCCTAGGGTTGCCAACTCGGGGTTTGGAAATCCCTGGAGATTTTGATGGGACCTGGAGAGGGTGGGGTTTGGCGAGGGAAGAGGGTGGTCAGCAGGGTATAATGCCGTCCAGCCCACCCTCCAGGGGAACTGGTCTCCGTCGTCTGGTGACAGGGTGGAGTTCTAGAAGGTCTCCAGGCCTCCCCCAGAGGTTGGCCACCACGCGTCTTCCCCGGCAGTGTGCAAAATGTGCAGACTGTGGCAGACTGGCCCCTCACGCTCCCAATGCGCTGCTGCCCTGGAGGGCCACTGGGGTCCAGGAGCAAGCAGAGCCGAGTCCCAGCGGGGCCGGCTGTGCTGCAGGGGCTGCGCAGCTCCGATCTGGCCAGTGCCGGCAACAGGGACAGAGGCTTGCCTGTTGCTGTGGCTGTCTGGGCCTGGACCAGGCAGCCCCCGTGGGCCTGCCGCTGCTGCAAGGGCCACTGGGCTCGGCTTGCTTGTGGGCCATCCCAGCCTCCCCTTGCGTGCTGTGGGCTGTTGGGCGTGTCTGAGGGTCCAGCCTTCGAGCTCGACTGGGCTCAGGGATGCCAAGCGGCCCCAGTGGCTTGGCGAGGGAACTTTTGCAAAACGACAGTTCTTCAGAGAAAGCCACCACAGTGCAGTTGGCCTGGGACGGTCCTTCAGGGTAGGAAGTTTGAAAGCCAGACCGTGGCAGCGAGGCCCCCGCCCCACATTGGGTTGCCGTTTGCCCCATGGGGGTGGGGGGATCCCTTGGTTTTGCAGGCTCCTGCCTGCCACCGGCCAGCTGGTTGGCAGGAGGGAATCCTCCCCCCCCCCAACAGCAACGTTGCCTGTGTCACCCGGAAGTAACACTGGCAACATCGGGGGTGACGCTCTGGATTTTGGGCCAAACTCTACGGTTTGGTGCCAGTTTTACCATAGAGTACCACTTCGGTGGGAAGGGAACAGCGTCCAGAGCGTTGCCCCCAGCATCGCTGATGGTCTGATGTCACTTCCAGGTGATGCAGGCGTCACTGTTTCAGGGGGGATGGGGGGGCGAGGTCACTTCCCACTCCCGGAATGCCCAGCCACCCCCCCCCCACTGGTGGGCAAAGGGGACCTGGGAGCCCCAGCCCCACAAGAGACTGGCCTGTGCTTTCTCAAGGTTAACATGGAAGGAAATAACACCACGGGGCCATTTCACCACCAGCTGCCGGCTGCTGCCCAGATCCCGCGCAGTGCCCCTGCCGCCTTGTCCTTGTGCCCATCTTGTGGTGTGTTGGCTCCCACGTATGTTTGGTGTCCAGGCTTGGCATGCCCAGTGTGTGTGTGTGTGTGTGTGTGTGTGTGGATATCTTTGGCCTGTAGCTACAGGGGGGCATCTTGGGGCTAGTCCCCCCCCCCCGACTTTCTGGCAAGACTTCCCATCCAGCCCAGGGCCCCCAAGTGGTGGTGGGCGTAGGGAAGGAGCCAGGTACTCCTGCTCAGCTGTCTGGCATGCAAGGCCGGCTACGGTGGCCATGTGGAGCCAGACAGCACCTCTCTATCCCCCCCCCCAATAAGCTTAATTAAAGTAAAGGTAAAGGTTCCCTTGCTCGAAAGCCAGTCGAATCCGACTCTAGGGTTGCGGTGCTCATCTCCGTTTCAAAGCCAAAGTGCCAGCGCTGTCTGAAGACGTTTCCGTGGTCATGTGGCCGGCATGACTAAACACCAAGGTGCACGGAACGCTGTTACCTTCCCACCGAAGTGGTCCCTATTTATCTACTTGCAATTTCCTGCTTTCGAACTGCTAGGTTGGCAGGAGCTGGAACTAGAGACGGGAGCTCACTCCATCATGCGGCGCACTCGGGTCTCGAACTGCTGAACGACTGACCTTCCACAGCCTGCAGTTCAGCGTCTTAACCACTTGAGCCACCGCAGCTCCTAAGCTTAATTAAATTACCTTTAATTCGATTAGTCAGTGCCCCCTAAGAAATTTAAATGCCCCCCACCTTAAAAAATCCTGGCTACGGGCCGGTCTTTTCCGTGCGTTCCCTTCCTTGTGAGCCATCAGGGTCTGGATCACCACTCTAGTCTCTCCTCTGCCCCGCACCCACCCGCTGTCCTTCCCTTCCAGGCCTGCTTTTGGCGGACGTCCATGCGAGGGGGAAGCCTTGCAGGCGGAAATGTGTAACACGCAGGTGAGGGGGCCCTTTTCTCTTGGCCGCATGCCTTGTTTCAAAAGTCCAGGTGGGTTTCGGTTTGTCCGTGCGGCACCCCCCTCGTACGGGCCGTGAATTGTCTTCTTGAATTCCTTCATCTGAGGGAGATATCTGGTGCAGATCTGCTGAAGGTTTTGAGGTTACCTTTCCAGTTCGCAGTCTGTGTCAAATATTTGGCTGGTGTCTCAAGGCGGCCAGGAAGGAGTCTACAGACTGCTGGGGGGGGGGGGGGGTTATAAAGGCGCAGATGAAGGTAGGTTGGCTGTTGGGTGGGAAGGAGATTCAGTTGCCAACTGCACGTTAGGAAATTCCTAGAGATTTAGGAGGCTGGAGAGTGGGGAGGGTGGCATTTGAGGAGGGGAGGGACCTCAGAGGGACACAAGGCCTTAGACTCCATCCTCCAAAGCAGCCGTTTTCTCCATGAGAACTGGGTTGCCAACCTCCAGGTGGGGGCTGGAGAGCACCCAGAATTTCAGCTGTTCTCTAGATGACAGAGATCAGTCCCCCTGGAGAAAATGGCTACTTCGGAAGGTGGACTCTATGGCATTCTACCCTACTGAGGTTGCTTCCCTAGCCAAACTTCGCCCTTCCGATGCTCCACCCTTAAATGTCCAGGAATGTCCCAACCTAGAGCTGGTAACGCTAAGGAGGGGGAGCTGGTCTGTGTAGTTGGAAGCTCTGCTGCAATTGCAGGAGACCTCCAGGCCCACAGGGAGGCTGGCGACCCTTGAGAAGAGAGAAGAAAGCGAGAAAAGGGGAGGGACTGTGGGGGCTTTCGGGGAAGGGAAGGGGGGGTGAATTAGATGCCTTCCGCAAGTCCTTGCAGGTTCCCACTTGCAGCGTTATAAGGCTATAGTGACATTGCGGCTCTCATTTAACAAGAGGAAGAGCTGGCAGCAACTGGTGGAAGGAAGAAGTTATAGGGGGTTGGTTTGGTTAATGGAAGGGCTGGGGTGAAGAGAAGGAAACCGTCGTGCCCCCAGCTCCCTGCTTTCCAGGTGGGAGGGGATCCCAGTCCTCTCCGTGGAAAGGGTTTTGCCAACCCCAATGCCCTTTCCTGTATCTCAGTCATAAGGTAAAGGTAAAGGTTCCCTCGCTCGAAAGCCAATCGAATCCGACTCTAGGGTTGCGGTGCTCATCTCCGTTTCAAAGCCGAAGAGCCAGCGCTGTCCGAAGACGTTTCCGTGGTCATGTGGCCGGCATGACTAAACACCAAGGCGCACGGAACACTGTTCCCTTCCCACCGAAGTGGTCCCTATTTATCTACTTGCAATTTCTTGCTTTCGAACTGCTAGGTTGGCAGGAGCTGGAACTAGAGACGGGAGCTCACCCTGTCTTGCGGCACACTCGGGTCTTGAACCGCTGAACTACCGACCTTCCACAGCCTGCAGTTCAGCGCCTTAACCACTTGAGCCACCGCAGCTCAGTCATACTCACTTGCTATTCCCCTCTCGAGGGGTAACTGTATGTTACCTGGACTGCCCCCCCCTCACAAAGAATATTGCACAGTTACGCATGGGGTCTGAGAGAGAAAGGCTGGTGTGGGTCCAGCCACCAGCGGGTTTGGCTTGTCTGCCCCTTCTGTAGCCCTGTCTGAAGACCCAGCTGGGTTTCATGGAGGAACAATGTGCCGCAACGGATGTGAAGCCCCTTTCCCTCAGCCTGGAGTTCCCGTCCTTTTACAAGTGGACTTCAGCTGCCAATTATGCCAAAGGTAACCCAGGAGAGTGGTGCGAATGAGAGGGTGCCTTCCCCCTCCCCCCTAAGATTGGGCATGCATGTAAAATCTCTGCACGGGGCCACCCCTGCACGGGGTGCTTCGCCAAAGGGTAGGGCCCTGCCCCTCTGACCTTGCAGTCATCATTACGGAAGCCTGGGAAGCCACCCCAGGAGGGGCAGGGCAGCGAGAGATCCGGGGAAGGAGAGGGTGAAGGTGGGCTTCTGGCTGTGGGTGAATGTTGGGAGTCCAGCCCGGCACTGCTGGTCAGGTTGGCGTTCCTTCCCTATATTTCAGAGATAAAGGACACCCCGTTTAAGTAGCTCTGCTCCTGGAAGGTTCCCAGGTGGATTTTTTGGATTTATGTCCCGCCCTCCCCGAAGGCTCAGGGCGGCTAACAAAGAGGCACAAGTGCCAGTTTTAAAACAGATAAAAACAGAACAAAACAATACAATACAAAACACTAAAGTGTCGGTGCTCTAGATGTCACAGAATCTGTAGTTACAAGATGGGGGTCTGGCAAAAGTTATTAATTCCAGGCCAACAGCGTACCTCCTAGCAGCACAACCATCCCGTCTTCATCCAGGGACGTCTCACACCCCATTTAATATCCGCACAATTGGTGGTTGAGGTGCGATAATGGGGGGTAGCGATGGTGGAATAGTGGTGGCAGCAGCTCCTACTCAAAAGCCTGGCGGAAGAGCTCCGTCTTGCAGGCCCTGCGGAACTGCGCAAGGTCCCGCAGGGCCTGGATCTCCTCCGGGAGCTCGTTCCACCAGGTAGGAGCCGCCATCGACAACACCCTGGCCCCGGTGCCAGCAAATTTTATATTCCTGGGGCCTGGGATTACTAGGGAATTTTGACTCCCCGACCGTAGTGCCCTTGGGGCAACAAGCGGGGAAAGGAGGTCCCTTAGGTAAGCCGGGCCCTGGCCATATAGGGCTTTAAAGGTAAGAACCAGCACTTTGAAGCGGATCCGGTATGCCATTGGCAGCCAGTGCAGCGCTTTTAGCACAGGCTGGATGTGCTCCCGCCTAGAGAGGCCCATCAACAGCCTGGCTGCTGCATTCTGCACTAGCTGCAGCTTCCGGATTTGCGACAAAGGCAGCCCCATGTAGAGAGCATTACAGTAGTCTAACCTCAAGGTGACCGTCGCGTGGATCACTGTGACCAGGTCATCGCGGTCAAGGAAAGGGACCAACTGCCGAGTCAGCTGAAGGTGGTAAAAGGCTGACCTGGCAGTGGCTACCACCTGGGCTTCCATCATTAAGGAGGAATCCAGGAGCACTCCCAAGCTCCTAACCTCCGATGCTGGCACCAAAGGCGCCCCATCGAAGGTCGGGAGAGGGAGCCCCAGCCCTGAACCGATCCGACTCAGACCCAGGACTTCCATCTTTGCCGGGTTTAGTTTCAACCGGCTCAGTCTGAGCCAACCAAGGTCATCTGGGGTGGAGTCCGACTGGCCTCCCAACATCAGATAGAGCTGGGTGTCATCTGCATATTGATGGCACCCAAGCCCACAACTCCGGGCAATCTGGGCAAGGGGGCGCATATAGTTGTTAAATAACATCGGGGACAGCACCGCCCCCTGAAGCACCCCACACTCAAGAGGATGCCTCCGGGACTGCTGATCCCCTATCACCACCCTTTGTCCCCGACCTTGGAGGAAAGAGGCAAACCATTGAAGGGCAAGCCCCTGAATCCCCACG